TGTTTGGGTGCTGGGGTGCTCCCAGCGCCACGCCTTCGGAGCATCTCTGCACCCCTTGCGGTCATGCGGAGCAGCGGGGATGCTCCCAGCACCAGCCTGCCAGGCTCTGGGGGGGCTTTGGAGCATCTCTGCACCCGTTGGGGTCCCGGGAAGCAGTTGGGGTGCTGCCAGCGCCATCCCTTTAGAGCTTCTCTGCACCCCTCGCAGTCCCAAGGAGCAGCTGGGGTGCTCCCAGTAAGAGCCCAGCAGGCTCTGGGAGGCTTCAGAGCTTCTCTGCACACCTCACGGTCACGGGGAGCAGCTGGGACGCTCCCAGTACCATCCCAGCATGCTCTGGGGGGCTTTGGAGCACCTCTGCACCCCTCACGGTCCAGGGGAGCAGCTGGGTTGGAAGTCCCCAGCTCTTCACCTGCCTCTTGTCCCTCTCTCGCCAGTTGACCGCTCCTTGCAAAACCTGTCCCTGGCTCAGTCCCTCTCCCTGAACCTGAAGAACCACTACAGCCTGGACGTCCACCTGCCGTCCACCTCCACCCCCGCCAGCATCCTGGGCAGCCCTGTGGCCCCCGGCTCGCTGCCAGCCCTGGGCCCCGGGGACTCCTACCTCAACCTCATCAGCCTGGAGAGGGAAGGCCACCGCTACAGCAGCAAGGAGGGGGACGAGTGCCTGGCTGTGCTGGAGGGGCAGGACGGGCTCAGCCGGCGTGTGGAGGGCTCCGAGGTCAGCGAGTTTGCTCTGCTCAACGGGAGCAGCCGGCAGAAGGTGGATGACACAGACAGAGGGGACGAGGACAGGTAGGATATGCCACCTCTGTCTCCCGCCGGCTGGAGTGGCAACACCCCGAGCAGACTCTCCCACTCCCCTCTGCTGCCCCAGCAGGGCTCCCACCGCACAGGCCACGTTTCGGAGGGCTCGTGGCAGCAGAGCCTACAGCAGGGGCTGGGGAGGAATAGCTGTGTTCTGGGCACTCAGGAGCAGGGACAGGCAGCCCAAGGGCTGTGCGCTGGCTCAGGTGCAGTAAGCCAGGCCAGGGAACCCACCGTGTCCCCCTGTGGGATCGCTGCCTGCCCTGCCGCGAAATGGTCGTTGCCACATCCCTTCACTCCAGCTCCAACGTTTGTAGGCGATGGGTTGCACTGATGGGACCCAGCAAAAGTCTTTTCGAGAGCCTGGGGCAGCCAGCCCAAGCCCCCCGTGCAGGTAAGTACTTGCCTGTCACCTCCTTTCTCTCCTTTTGCTTCCCAGGCGGCAGCAGCCCATTCCCAAGCTCAACCCGCCACCGCCCATCCTACGCAAAAGGTCGAGCAAGACCTCCCCGAGCCTGGAAGTAGAGGTGAAGCCTGAGAGCACTGCCCACATGAGCTTGCCCAGCCCCAGCATCTCCAGCCTCACCAGCATCGCTGCCAGCTCACTCACCCTCTTGGACCCTGAGGCAAGGACTCCCATGCGGAGCGTTGCCTCCGGCACGGAGCCTGTCCCTGCCAGGACCTGCCAGCGTGCTCTGGGCAAGGACAGGACTGGAGAGAGCGGGCGGATGTCCCCCCTGGCCAGCATCCGCGACCCTGCAGCCAGCGAGGCCCTGGCCAAGGACTTGGCCACCCTGGCCAGCCCCACGGACAGCACGCTGCCCTTCTCCCCTGCGGACGACACCTGCTTGCACATCAGCTTCTCAGAAGATGAGCTGCTTGAACCAGAGCTGGACGCTGCCGTGGGGCCCCCCAGGGTCCCCTCTTAGTGGGACCACAGTAGGTGGCAGCTGGCTGGCAGGCAGTCCAAGCAGCTCCGTCCATGCCACTCCACCCGCC